GTTCGATTCCGGTCAAGGGCATGTACCTTGGTTGCGGGCACATCCCCAGTAGGGGGTGTGCAAGAGGCAGCTGATCGATGACACTCTCTCGTCGATGTTTCTAGCTCTCTATCTCTCTCCCTTCCCCTCTGTATAAAAATCAATAAAAAATATATTTTTAAAAAAAAACAAAAAACAAAAAAACAGGTGGAGTTACAAACATCCCCTTGGTGTTTGAATATACATTTCAGCAGATCTATTTTCTAGGTGGAAATACTTAACTAAAGCTGTATATCCTTTCTGTCTCATCTATGAAAATAGAAGCACACATTATTGTACTTTTAACAGTCATTCTTACATTAACCATTAAGAAAGAGGGAATACTGTGAATGTCATTTTCATAGTACATGGAGTAGGGAAAAACTTTTATTTAAAATTCTCAAAATTCACTCTAATTGGGAAGAAATTTGAATTTGGGAAAAAGTGGGGTGACAAAGGATTATTACATAGGGATTATAAATTAGGAAGCTATTTATTTTAAGTATATTAAACAGAAGAAATAAAATACACCTTCCAATGGTAAAATTAATTTTAAAGGGGATTTCTGGCAAAGATAATTTATAAGTAAAAAGGAAATTGTCTAGCTTTATATGTAGATGAGAAAATATGATGGAAATAATCAATACATCAGAGTAGCTCCATATATCTCTAAGACATCAGCTCTCAAATACAGAGATTTGGAAACCTCAGTGTAGCTCCATATCTGACTGTGCTACAACAATGATGAGTATAAAGAATTTTCAGTTTAAAACAAAGGCATGTTTGTTCTCATAGAATTGGTTGAAGGAGATTTTATTTCACAATGAATTCTTAATGGCCAAGGTCTTTGATTCAGGTTGGAATTAAACATGTTAAATAGCAACCCTGAAATAATGTTTGTGATATTGTGAATTTAGCCTTTTGCTCTTACATTCTTTCTAGGAAGGAGATATAAGAAGCATACTGTTCTTTTAAGCTTATAAACTTTCACAGTATTATCCTAATTCAGTGGACAAAGCCAGTTTCAGGACTGCCACTTCCTAGTTTGGAGTTTAGGTGAGATGAGGAATGTTCATCCCTGCTTGAAAATAAATTTTTACTATGGCAAAATTTTAACTAAATTTTCTTCCTTCTGATTTTCCTCCTTGAACATATGCTTAAAACATAATATGTCATTTTTATGTGAACATAAATTTTATTTCACTTAATGCTCAAGGTTTTGTGATCCTGTAATATACCTATTATTGATATAGAGTTGCCATAGCTTATAAATGAATGACAGCTCTTTCAAACATTTATAAACGTGTGATTGATCATTTATGACTTGGGGCAAAAATTTTTTCTTTGAATAATAAAGTTAATACACCTTTGATCTTTTCATTTCAAGGACTGCTTCCCCCTCCCCCCCCTTCCTCTACCTCCTACCCTATATTTTAAAAGTTAAGATCCAGATTCTTGCAAACATTTTCTACACTTGAACTCTCCTTCTCTTACTTCTCAAAGCACTCTAATTTGATTTCTGCCCATACTACTTCACTAAAGCTGCTATCGCCAGGCCACCAAGTGTCTGCATCACCTTTCTCAGACTTTGTTGTCACTGAGGCAGTTAATACTGGTAGCCACTTCCTTCTGTTTGTTTGTTTGTTTGTTTGGCTGGTTGGTTTTTTTTTAAACTTTACCGGAGGATAGTTTCCCCTTTATTTTTCAGAGAAATGGAAGGGAGGGAAAGAAACAGAAAGAAACATTGCTGTGAGAGACACATCATCTGGTTGCCTCCTGTACGTGACCTGACCGTGACCTGACCGGGGGTGGGGGGGGGAGCAAACCTGCAACCCTTTGGTGTGAGTGTTGGTGCTCTAACCACTTAGCACACTGGCCAGGCCTCAGTTCCTTCTTAAACACGCTCCAGTGACAACACATTAGCTAGTTCTCCTCTTTCTTTCTGATAACACCCAATTCTCCTCTGTAAACTTCCCTTTCTCTAGTCATCCTTTAAACGCTGCTGTTCCTTAGGGTCTCTTGGCTTCTCATGATAGTGCTTTCCCGAGAGTTTGGCATTCATTGCTTCAGTTATAATCTGATGATTCCAGAGCTGCTGCTTGGCTACAGAGCTGTATGTCCAGCTGGGTACCGGACATCTTCCCTTCTGGTTGTAGTAGCCTGCAGGTGATATAAACCCACTCCAGGCGTTAGAGGGAAACGGTGAACAGGTCAAACTGGTTTTAGAGATGACTGGAAATAGACTTCCTCCTTTTTTTTTGTTGCTGCATTATAATCTCAGAATCATCTTCTGCATGAAATTTGGAACATGGTTGGCTAAGGTCAACCTTCAAGTATACAGATTATCAGTTACAAAGAAAAGATAGGCTCCGTCTAACAGAAGATAGCCAGACATGAGTTCTCATAGATGTAGTTTGGTTGGCTACCTCAGGGTGTACTCGGTGTATTGGTTAATGTGGGTTTTATAATCAAAGAAAACACGACAATTTCAAGAGAAACATCAGAAGTGCTTTATTCACAGTAATGTCCATCGCTAGCTACACATTTCCCCCATCTTTCAGGTAATTTGTAGATAACATCCCAATAGAACTTTCCTTGTTTTCGGGCTACTCAGAAAGTGCATGTGCCATCGATCAAAACAAGTGGTAATCTGAAGGAGCAAAATCTGGTGAATATAGTGGGTGGGTTAATACTTCCCAGGCAAGATCTTTTAACGTGTCTTTAACTGTTTTTGAAGTGTGTGATGATGCATTATCATGAAGCAAAATTACTTTTCCATGTCTTCTGACCTATTCTGGTCGTTTTATTATCAAAACGTGGTTAAAATTGATTATTTGTTGTCGGTAGTGATCAGTATTAATGGTTCCACCTGGTTTTAGAAGCTCATAATACACCACACCTTCCTGATCCCACCAAATGCAGAGCATTTTTTTCCCATAGCGTTGGAGTCGATGTTGATGGTGGACCTGTATCAGCCCATGATTTTGTGCATTTGGGATTCTCAAAATAAATCCACTTTTCATCACCAGTCACAATTCAATGCAAAAAAAGACTTTCTTTCATGCTGTTGAAGCAACATTTTACTGATGACTTTTTAGTTTTCCATTTATCTTTCATTCAGTTGATGTGGCAGCCATTTTCCTTCCTTTAAAATCTTTCCCATTGCTTGTAAATGATTGGAAATTGTTTGCTGAGCAACATTGAATCTTTCTGCAAGTTGTTTTTAAGTTTGACACATCTTCCAACAATGCTTGTGATTGTTGGTCTTCAAACTTTTTCAGTTGACCTAGACTTTCTTTGTCTTTCATATAGAAATCATCACTTTTAAAGTGATTAAACCAGTGTTCACAAGTATCTTGAGATGGAGCGTTTTCACCATAAGCTTCCCAAAGTATTCAGCAGCACTTTTCTTCAAAATAAAGTAATGAATTAAAACAAATGCTCTTTTTTTTTTCTTTTGCACAAAATTTGGCATTTTTAAGTATAAAATATCTGTGATGTTAACACCTTCAGCAAATTTGACTATGAAGTTTTTAAGCTTGCTGTCAATACAACAAAATAGCATACATATCAAATCACATATATATCAAAATATGTGTAATTCCATCTATTGAAAAAAAAAAATCTGCATTATTAACTGGTACATCTAGTAAACTGGTTTGACTGAAACTTATTCTGCTGATAGTGGGAACAGGATCCTAACGTCTTGATTCAAAATGCAGTCTAGGAGATAATAGATCAACCGAAGGACTTGTATACATGCATATAAGTACAACCAATGGACATAAAACTCTGGGGAGGTAGGGTATTTATAGGAGGGAGGTGGGGGGCAAAAAAAAGTCAATAAAATATATTTTAAAAAATAAAATAAAATAAATGCAGTCTAATCTAACCCTTGATAATCTCTCATGTACAATTATAATTTCAGTGGAGAAGGTGATAGTTTGTTTTTGTTTTGTTTTTTACAATTATTGATGAGTTATAGCTGCTTGAATATCTAAAAAGTTGATTTCTATGCTACTTATTATCTGGGTCATCTTTGAGAACAAAAGTCTCAATTGAAGAAACCTATAGGAAAATGATCAGTATTTCTTTTTGGAATTAGAAACTATTATATGGTGTTTGAATTAGTGATTTTAAAAAACTTATTAAAACAGTTTAAACTTTTATAGTCATAAAATAGAGTGCTCTGGGAAAGCAAGGATTTCTATCTTCTTTCACTGCTATACCCCTAATAACCTGATACTCAAAAAAGCCTTGAAAATAATTGTTGAATGAATATCAATTTATTAAAATCTTGCTGGAGGGGGGTTGTCCCTCGGCGCAGCCTGCACCCTCTCCAATCTGGGACATCCCTCTTACAATCTGGGACTGCTAGCTCCCAACTGCTCGCCTGCCTGCAAGCCTGATCACCCCCTAACCACTCCCCTGCCAGCCTGATCAACACCTAACTGCTCCCCTGCTGGCCTGATTCCCCCCACCTGCCATCCCCTGCAGACTCTGTTGCCCCCAACTGCCCTCCCTGCTGGCCCAGTTGCCCCTAACTGCCCTCCCCTGCAGGCCTGGTCCCCCACTCCCCAACTATCCTTCCTCATATGCAGGCCTAGTTGCCCCCACTTGCCCTTCCCTGCTGGTCTGGTTGCCCTGACTGCCCTGGTTTGGTAGCCTGATCACCCACAACTACTCTCCCCTGCCGGACATCATGTGACGGGCCCTCTTTGTCCACATGGAGGTGGCCATCTTGTGCGAGGGTGTGAGGGTCAATTTGCATATCACCTCTTTATTATATAGGATATGCATAACCCATGGATGCAGACAATAGGGTGGTAAGAATATGGGGGGTGGTAGGGGCTGAACAGAGGAAGTTAAAGCGGGGGTGGGAGGCATCTGTAATACTGCCAACAATAAAAAAGTGAAAGAGATAAAAGCTTCTACAAATAAGTAACTTGTTTTCTTTACTTTTTTTTTTTTTTTTTTCCTAGACTACCTGAGCCAAGACAACATTTATACCTTCCTGGTGGTTCAGAAACGAGTCTCCGTAGAACCACAAGCAAAGAAAGGAAACATTCTGTCTTTTTCTTAATTTGACTACATAAGATTCTTGACTGCCAAGAACAAAAACTCAGAGAAGTATTAAGATTATTATTTGGACATCATCATACTGAGGAGTTTGCTTTGTGAAGCTTCCCGAGTAGAGATTTGGAAACTTCCTTGGTGCTCATTTATACTTTGGACTATAAGCATGAGTGAATTCTGGTTGTGTTTCAACTGCTGTATTGCAGAACAGCCTCAACCTGTAAGTATGAAGTAATACACATACAGATTGGGTGGGTGCTTATGAAACTCCAGAGGCCCGGTGCATGAAAATCGTGCACTGGAATGCGGTGGGGGGTCTCTCAGCCCAGGACCCCTCGGGGATGTCTGACTGCCAGCTTGTGGCTGGATGGCCTGCTGCTGCTGCACAGCCTGCTGCTTGAGCTTCAGCAGCTGCTGCACGTGCATGGGCTGGGCCACCACGGTCTGTCCTGCGAACACCATCGAGTGGGTGAGTCAAGCGCAGAGGCAGGCTCACTCTGAGTTCCCTGCGCTCCCTGAGTCACTGAGTTGTTTAGACTGAGTGCCTTCTACAGAGAATGGCACGGGACCGGCCTAAGCTGGCAGTCCGGGACCCCTGGGGGATGCAGCAGTGTGCCAATGGCAGATGGCCAGGGAGGAGTCCAAATCAGGTGGGCGCCATGCTGCTCACGCTCATCCCAGCCTCTGTTCCTGCTGCCACCGCTTGGCAGTGCTGCCGCGGAGTCAGGAGAAGCTCCTGCCATGGCAGCTGTGCTTGCCCGCCAAGAGCCCGGCTTCTGGCTGAGCGGCGCATTACAGTGATGGGTTGTCCAGTCGTTCCACCATGAAGGTTGCTTAGGTTTTTATTATATAGACTAGAGGCCTGGTGCACAAAATTCATGTCCCTCAGCGCCGTCTGCACCCTCTCCAATCTGGGATCCCTGGGCTGCTGGCTTCCAACCGCTCGTCTGCCTGCCTGCCTGCCTGCCTGATTGCCCCTGCTTCTGCCTGCCAACCTGATCACCCCTAATGACTCCCTGCCAGCCTGATTGACACCTAACTGCTCCCCTGCCGGCCTGATCACCCCTAACTGTCCTCTCTGCTGTCCTGGGTCCCCTCCAACTGCCTTCCTCTGCCGTCCTGGGTCCCCTCCAACTGCCCTCCTCTGCCAGCCCAGTTACCCCTAACTGTCCTTCCCTACAGGTCTGATTGCCCACAACTGCCCTCCCTTGCCGGCTATCTTGTGGTGACCATCTTGTATTGGAGTGATGTCCAATTTGCATATTATCTCGTTATTAGATAGGATACAGCTGGTGCTCAAATTGAGAATCAGGACCCTAGCAGTAATTGCAGGGCAGTTCTAAGGAGTGTCACAGAGAGTAGTTCAATGGATTTCTGAAAATCTAGTTAAAAAACGGGGAGAAGAAGGGATGAAAAATAATGTTTTTTTGAGTAAATGGTGTCAAAACTGTGCTAGACCATTGTACATGACTGGGAAGGCTGTGCTCTTTCACCAAGTAGATATCTTCTGGGGGGAAAGTGAGAGGAGGAGGTAAAACAGCTCGGTAAGCCTCGGAAATCAGGGGTGCAGAATGTGACAGCCAGACCAGACTGTACTCACATTTTTTCAATTTACCATCTCATTTTCCTCACAGACACCCTTGGAGGAAGATACCATTATCCTTATTTTCCAGTTGAAATAGATCCAGTTTTTTGCTCAAAATCATTCATATTAGGTAGTAAGTGGTCTTAGCTGGCTTCTTTTTGCCACATGCCCCATGTTTTTTGTGTCTTCTAAATTATGCACATATTGTCACCTCTGCCGTAATCCTGCCCTCCAGCCTCCCATTTTCATCGATTCTAGATCAAAAGTCACCTCTACAAAATCTTCCCAGCTATCTCCTGACTTAGCAGATATTTATCTGCATTCCCACTAGCTCTTTACTTCATTTTTCTATTATAGCATGGAACTTCTTATATAGTAATAATTGTTCTCTAGTCTCTCCCTCCACATTTTTAATTCTACAGTGGCCCTGACCATATTTACTTTGTATCTAAAGGATCAAATCTAATACCTTGGAAAATCTATTACATGCTGGCTGGCTGGCTGAATAAGTGAGTTTATGTTTTAAAAGGACAAACGAGGTATAATCTTAAGATCTTTTCTAAGACTTTCCCTGGGTATTCACAGTCAATTTCTAATTTTCCTCATATATGCAGTTGTTTTTGAATGTCTCAGTCTCCCCAAAAGGTAAAATATGAAAAATGGAGGTTGGGGGGAGGAAAAGCGGTTGTTGACTTTTTAAAAACAAATATATATATTTTTACTGATTTCAGAGTGAGGAAGGGAAACATTAGTGATGAGAATCACTGATCATTTGTCTTCTGCACGCCCCCTATTGACATGTGCCCCGACCGGGAATCAAACCCTGACCTCCCGGTTCCCTGGTTCTTCACGGGCTGATGCTCAAGCACTGAGACACCCGCCCGCCAGGCAGGCGCTAGCTTTTTAAATGCCCTGGAAGTCACTCAGCCAGACAAGAAGTGAAGAGTTCCGATGCCGGCTGCCTGTCTCTCTTCTCTGTGCCCAGAAGTGGAGATATTTGGAGGACCGGGTCCTTTTTGCCTACTCTGGCTACCACAGCTGTGTGAGCTGCTCTGGGAACACAAGAGTTGGCTGATGGGTAATGCTACTGTGCTAAGGGCTGACATTGACTGAAATTAACTGGTTTACCTTCCAAGCCTTCCGCTGGTGGTTGTGAGCCTTGAACAGACTCCGTCAGGCTCAGTCTGCCCCTGCGGTTGTTGGGTGGCAATGCAGATTCCTGGTGCTGCTTGTCCACTATCTTCTTGTTCACTACTTTCTTTTATGATTTTGGTTCTTATATTTAGGGCTTTGATCTGTGAAGTGTGGAAGTTTGGTTGATTTGTGTGGTGTGAGGGGGGTGGTTTAATTATTCTTTGTCTAAAGACAGTCATTAAATAGCCAATCTTTTTATTAGTAATTTGAAATGTCATCTTTATTATATACTATGCTTTCATATATTAGTCCATTTCTGAAATACATTTTATTCTTTTGGTACATGTGTTTACACATATGCTATCATTGTTTTAATTGCTGCTGGTAGTGTATTTTGCTGCTTCATAGAAGAGATCTCTTTCATAGATCTTTTTCAGCTGTATTGGTAACGTCTTATTTTTTAAGGTGGATTATTATTTGATCACTTACTATTTTATTCATGTTTTTATTTGTATGAGATAGTTCATAATGCATATTTTTATAGGTGTTTAATTTAGCATTGCATTACATTTAGAGTAAGAGGTGACATCTTTAAAATTGAGTAATCTCCTTGAGAAACATGGCATGTGTCTTCATTTATATAGACCCTTTCATTTAAATTTTGTACATTGCTTGTTAAATTTGTTTTTAGATATTTTATGGATTTTATATTACTATTCTGCATGAAATTCTATTTGTCTTTTATATTTTCTAATTGGATTGTACTAATGTATAGGAAACCAATAATTTTATGTACCAATTTTTTATGCGGACACCTTACTGAAAACTTTATATTTTCTAAATATGTCGACATAGTGACATTTTTAAAGCTTTTTCTGATACGTAAACGTTTTGGGTTGTTGATATCTTACAGCACTGACTAAGAACTCCAGTATTATGATGTTGAGTAGTGTCATTAAGGGTTGAGCATTCTTGCTTCTCCTGACTTTAAAGGGTTAGGTTGTAATTTACTTAAATATAAAATGACTGTGTACTTTAGTGATTTTATGGTTACCTATACATTTAAGTCATTGTATATAATTTATCTCTGATAATTCCAAGGATTATATTTTTAACATTTTTTAAAGATTATGGAATACTTGAATCCTGTTGCCATTTTGCTTTTAATATTCCTTGTAATTTTTTATTGGAAATTAGACATGATAATACTGGGTAAAAGGAAGTGAGGTAAATAGGTCTTTATTATGAGGTTTTATAATTATTTGGATAGGGGTTAGGCCATACTGTTTGCCGTAGCTATAGGGGAGGGTAAAATTTCCTTCAGTGAACTTGTATGTGTTTTGAGTTTCCCTAGAGACTTCTTAAACATTCCCCTGTTCTATAGGAGCCATGTTACGGATGTTGGGGAGGGGTGGGGAGGGAAAGGAAACTTTATGTGCTGCTGTGCTTAGATTTCCGTCTTAGTGAGTCTGCCCTGGGCTGTGCTGAACACGGTACTTCTCAGTTTTGTTTTGGTTTTTACTTAGTTCATGCAAAAAGGCTTGAGGGCACTGGAGTTGGGTCTTTTTCCCTATATGGAAGGCTCTTCCTCAGGGCTGGTTAGTTTCTGGTAAAACCCGTTGATTAGGCTCTGGTAAAGTAGTTTCTCTTCAGGATAGGCTTTGTAAGAAGCAGGATGCTCTGGGTTATGTAAAAATGGCTCCCATTCCCCACTCATTGCTGAAAAACACTGGAGATTTTTCTCTGCTCTGCACTTGAACATGGTAGAGTTCCTGGAGGCGAAACTGTGGGGTCCCCCTAAGACTGGACCCGTGGTGTTTTACTCTCAAACTTGTCTACGCTAATCCTCCAGCAGCTCATCGGTTATGGGTTACACTCTGGTCCTGGATACCCGGAGGTTTTTCCTCATGGGAACTCGTAATTCTTTTGTATCTGCCTCTCTCTCCAATTCTGGGGGCAGTGGTTCTCTCTGTGATACCAGTTCTCCATTGGCTGTACAAAGAATTGTTGGTTTTCACTTTAACTTTTTTCTGTTGTGTGGATGGGAATGACACTTTCCAAACTCTGACATGCCAGACCACAAACCAGAAACCATATCGCCATGTTTTTTTAGGATTGATTACTTTATTGCTGATATTCATAATATATGCAACAAAGTGAATCCTGTTCTAGCTAAGTACTCATAAGTAGCTAAAATAGTGAGGCATAGGTTAGAAATTTAAATATCAGGAGCATACAGCCTTGGGATTATAAATGAAGCGTTAGAAATACATTTTTTTGCTGTACAAAGGATATGCAGCGTGAGGTTTTTTTTTGCACACATATAACATGTCAGTATTGTGTTTTTGTTTAATAATACATATTTGTATTCCACATGAGTTCCATGGGCATCTGATTTCTTAGTCTTTGGACTTGCTGAGAAATATGACACAAAACTGAACAGGGCTTGTGGTTACTGAGTGGAAGAATAGCTTGTTTGTTGGCACTTAATGGACAATTAT